TTAAACCCGACTGTTCAGTTGGGATTTGGAGAAATTCGCATTCGAAAAAAAAACGAGAACGGAGCAGGTAATGATGCATATAAGTCTAATAGACACTGAAAATGTACATGCATGGAAATGTATAAACGTTTTCCTACATAACATAATTGAGGAAACTCTACTTTATCGATCACAAAGAAATCATTCATGTAAATAAAATGTTTAATGAACAAGCACTACTGATTTCGGTAATATTAAGGTACTTGTCGTCGGTTCAAATTCAATATAACGTGCCAGATGCAATCCATGATGTTGAAGTATATATAAAACTGTAAGAAAAGGGATCTGCTAAGCAATTTCTTAATGAAACAAAAGAGAATTTGTGATCTCAGTAATAATATCACAAACAGAGTTTATGCAATGAATGATGTTAATTTGAAGTTAAAAATAGCAGCAAGTAGTCCGAGTGATACACAATATATATTTAATTTGACCGTAATTTGTCGAACATTCACACAAATGTAACATTTCTATTTGTTTCTCAGTTGATTAGTTTGATATCCTGAGGCCGATTCATGGAATCTTCATATTCCCGCCGGTTTTCGGTTTCAGCACACTTTACTATTAATACGTCATCATTCCCATTGCCAACGTAACCAGAGTTATTTTGATCTCATTCGCTTTTGATGTGCTAGAAATGTCTTTGAGAGTGCGATGAATATAGTGTAGTGAAATAAAACATCAATCAATGGCAGCCAAAAACTTCCGTGTGTGAGATGTGACCTGCAGGTAAATAAGTCGATTATTGCTCGAAAAACATATGTTATCCAAAATGAAAACCGTTCACAGGTCATTTCTGAAGTAAAAATGGTCTTACTTTTGACAACAGTCATATGATCAGTATATCGGCATGCCTTCATGTCACTTGATCTGTTATTCGGTCGATGGAAGGCCGTCCTCTTTTTGATGATATTTTGTCAAAATGGGCGTCACATTTCTTCTTTTGGATGACCAGTAAAACAGATGTTCAGTTTTGTTTTTGAAACAGGCAATTTGATGATTTGTGTTGTGAACTAATCCTCAACAAGGTTTTCTGGTTTGAAAGGTTATAGGAAAAATTAAATTACTATCATCCGATTCGATCATACTTTCACACGAAAAAGCTGCTTTCTTTCACCGAATTTCTGGTTATGTAACTATTGGTCAATTAGGGTTAATAGCAGAAGTCAAAGTATTGCAAAATGATTGGAAGTGTAGAATATATCAGATCATTTTATTATTTGTTGATTATAAGGAAACACTAAGTCAGTTTGTATATGCTTAACTCCGAAATTCTCCCTACTTCAATAACAAATAGTGATCATTTCGACCAAAACTAATGAATTGTCATTCGAAATAGCTTCCAATTTTTTTTTAGTAGACAAACAAACGATCACATGAAATTATTTATCATCTTCTGCTTCAGCTCTAGCTTTGTTTTCTATAGATAATATAATTACCATAAACTCCATAACTAAAATAGATCAAAGCGATTTCAATTTCCTTCGATGTTTCGCGATTGCAAATCCTACGTTTTGCAAGACAAATAGTATTTATCAAGTACAATAAATCCATCAACCATGTGACAGTGCTGTAGAATGGCTTTATGATATATTACCGTATTTGCTGATTTCTATACACAAACAAAAGTATTCAACGCATCAATGTAGAAGTTTTATCATCAGAACATGTTTTTATCTGTTATTATTAGCTCGTTTCGTGTATAAATGTGATGTGAATTATATTTGCAAGGCATAGATTTCTAAATTTCGCTTTGTTAGAGCGTAAGATGCTTCACTGTTGACAACATAGATTTAGTTTCCGATGTATTTTTCAGTTATTTTTAAGCAAATGATCTGCAACGTGCAAATTAGTACACAAAGATATCATATCAAGGTACATTTCAGCCTAATATTTGATCTGATTATTGAGAGCACAAATTATATGAGCACTGAAAATTCTGTTTAGACTAATATTCAACGTAAAATGACAACCAGATTGAGCTTATATCATAAGCAGTACTTGAATAATAAACATCATAAGAGAAACACAAAAATTCTACGTGAATGTGTTCACTACAGGCAAAATATAACGGATGCAGATACAAACCACAAGGTGCTCGGATGATCGTTAAGTCACTCCTTTCTACAATTGAACCAAGATGAAATTTTTCATCTGACAACCTGCCTATCTAGTTCCCTGTTAAAAGTTGAATGAACTGACGCACAAGGATTTGGATACGTTAGATAATTCACTCGTCAGAGATTCGGTCTTTTTGTCATGTGATCTGATTGCCGATTGCAAACTGTTAGTCTCTAACATTACCGTTGGAAGTACTTTGTCAGCAGATAGGATTTGTACGGATTAACGAAAAGGAGCTTATACCCTCGTTAACCTCACAAAAATATCAAATGAATTATCAAGTTATTATATTTTGATATTGGTCATTTTGAGAAGACCGAGGGAGGCTCGGTAGATTTTATTTAGGAAATTTACACTCTTAGTCAATTAAAATCGAAAACATTACATTGAACACTCTATTTGAGTCCCGACTTCGAACGCTCTCGCCTTCTTTCATTTCTGCTGTTGCTTCCTTTACTTCTTATCGGTACTCCATTTTCTTCTTGCTTTTGCTCAATTTGCTTTCCGTTTTCCTCTGGTGACCTTGAGAGTTCTTCTTTCACGTTCCTTCTTATGCTACATATATCGATCGCATTAGTAGCACACACCACAATAAAATACGGAAACTTTCTTACTAATAATAATAATTATTGAATAAGAAAATAGTGTGATTCAGGTTACAATGTAGTCAACAAACTTCATCGTCTTTGACTTTCATTTTGTGTAGAAATATGATAGATGCTACTGTCTCTATATCAGCTACCACATACTTTCTAAATAACCACATGACATGTTGTTCTGTATTATGAAGTGAACGTCCAAATCTAACTCTGTGTTGAGGTGATCGACTAACAACCACGTAAAGAGATAAAATATAATTCTTACGTAATCTCAACAAAAATTGTTTGTAAAATAGGAATATTTCATTGATTTAGTGAGGACCATCAAGTTTTTCTAATTACAATGAATGTGCTGATCAATGAAACGACAATAGCATCGTGCGTATATGTAAGTGCAGTTGAGGTCATCAGATCATGTTGTTTGTTTACGACATTCCAAGATAATTTGGAACGAGAAAAAAAAAACTGAACTCAAATTGTTTATTAAGAAGAATATTTACTTTGTTTTAATAAAATATTAAGGGTAACAGATACACCAAACTGTAATCATAATATTCATTCAATCAGGTTTCAATTCCTTCGTTTTCATTCCCATCGTGTAATGATAAATTAATTCTCGTAATAATCGAGGCCTTCCATCACACAATGTGTTGTGATTTTATTTTTCCAGGGTGTAGATAGTTGTAACTGTTACTGGATTTTATAGTTCGAATAAGATTTCATGCTTTGATGAAAACTGATTGATTTCTTAACTCATCACAATGTTTGTCTATTTTTAATCAATTCTACTACATTGTATTCACTTCAGCATTAGCTGCTACATTTCAATGAATATCTATATTTGTTCATATTAAACCATTCGTGATAGGGGGAGAAGACCGAGTTTGGCTTATTTAGGTAATTCGAAGTTATTTTAACATCTGTATCCAGTAAATATAAAATCACATATGTTTTAGTCATAGTAAAATTTCTTCTTAAACAGCAAATCAATATTACAAACAGTGTTTCCTGTTCAGATACGAGTACCTTGACATTTATTCGTTGAGTATTGATCATGCGGCCGAGAACGCGTTCAGGATTATACAACCATCGATTAGCCAAATATGTTGGAAAATGTGTAATTTCGAAAAGATATGAATTAGATACATGCACGTAAATTGTAACACATGAATGTTTGTGATCAATTATATCAGTCAAATGAAAACTCACTCCTTGAACCAACTGATATTTGGTTTCGCCTTATCAGTCGATTTCAAAGTGATTTGAATTATTGTTTGCTTTGTTAATATTTGTTTGAATTTTGTGTTGACGGGACCTCACATAAGCCAAATTTCGAGAGATGTTATTGTTGTCCAGTTATCAAATTATCATATACATGACAAACCTTAGCACCACCTAAACACAAGGAAGAGGATCGTCCTTAAACAGCTTTCCTTTATTCACTGCTTATCTGTTGATATTGCTTTTTTTCAGTGCCGTCCTGCTGTGGTTGGCCTAATTCAAACAACCGATGTCCCAATGTTGAACATCATTTCAATGTTCTAATCACTGTTATAACCAGAAGTTTTCGACGACAATTTCTTTGTTCATAATAGTTGGTAGGTAGAGACAAGGCTGAACAGCGTGAATACAACCATATTGATTCAAATTCAATATCAAATAAACTTTCCTCAATGACGCGTTTTTCGAGTGCTTGTGCCATCTTTACACGTTCAGTATTGATACTCAGAATTTTCGAAATTCATATGTTGACCTGTAGAATCGACTCAAGGTAGTGGAAAGAAAATCGGATTCAGATCGACCTTAGCAAAGATCAGAAATAGTTCAAGCGTGATGTTAACGGGTAATAACAATTACCCCTTTAAAGATGACTCTTACTTGAACTGTGTATTTCTACCTGTTCGGGTTAAGACAGTAACTACCGAAAACTGTGTATGAGATTGGGCGATTCCGTGAATGGATCAAGTTAAACATTACCATTAACATTAACACATCGGCTCAGTGGTCTGGATGTTGAGGGTTTGCGCACAACACAGAAAATACTGCGTTCAAAATCTGCGCCGCGGAGATCATAATGCTACTACTTCTACAACAATGAGATCTGAATGTCAATTTTGTGTATGCTTTTGTGTTGTGGTTCGACAGCAGTAGCATCTTTGAAATAATTTCAGAGTTGACTTTGAGGAAAATAAGCATATGCTTTTTATCAATTTTAGTTACACCAGAAAACTTTCACACAACTGTCAATTCATAACCGGATCTATATTTTGACAAAAATAGTTTCAGTATATGATTACAATAACAGAGATATTGAAACACAGTTATTATTACAGAACATGCATAGATATTTAAAGATCAATAGAAATGAACATCAGTTCCGACAAGTAAAAATAAAATGTTAAGTGAACATTGAAAAATCTTAGTAAGAAGATATCACAATAAAAAAAAAATGAATTTCACGAATGAACGTGCGATGAGTTCGTTGGTGGTTGTTTCTTGGGAAAGTACACAATATCAGTAAAATTATAATTATCGGCACTGGATTTCATTTCTCTGTTGTAGCTTGTCATTAGGAAGTGAATGAGAAGAACAGTGTGCATAACATGGATTGACTTTTAAATAGACAAACTGCTGATATATGTTGACACAATGATTTATTTAGTGTACCAATGAACTCGCATACACTTGAATTCATCTACGTGTTGATTTTCTAAAAGTAATGAAATCATATGACGAAACAATAATAAGTCATCCAATGTAGTGATGAGTAAAAATTGTTTTCGTATTCAACAGTTTACCAACTTAACACTCTGTTAATCAGTCAGGAATTTGACGAAGTTATGTGTTTGACAATAGTGGTATACTTTTTCACCGAAATCATCGTTGTGATATTTTGTAGACCCTAACAGCATTCTGCACGTGTATAAAACCTATTGCTTACTGAAATGTTTAACGGTGATATACATAGTGCTTCTAGAACAGGTCATCCTGTTACACTTTAGTTTGATTCGAATTGACTTTTGGTCTGTGTGATACACATTTCATTGTACCGGATAAATACCGCTAGAAATTTTACGTACTGAATGTAACTTTAGCGAAACACATGCCTTCTATTTGATTTTCTGCAGTGAGATTATAAGTGACTGTTCGTCTGCAGTCTTTCTAATTTACACAGAATTCACGAATGATAAATTAATAACATCGATAATACAGAGGAACCTGGTAAAAAACTCACATTTGATTTTCTCCTATTTATCCATGATGCAAAGATGCCGACAACGCTTACAATCACCAGCAAAGAAACCGTTGGAATAAAAACGTGAAGGTACCATCTAGATTTGGCAGGTGGATTCGCTAAGTTTTCTTTCTGTTAGATAAATGCAATATTTTGCTTAATGTCAACATGTGAGTTACTTTGAGAATAAAATCATATGAAGGTATAAACATGTATATTTTAGATGCTGACCTCCGCTACATAACCTAAACATTTCTAGAAGAACGCAGTACGACAGGCGGCTACAAAATTTGTATGTTGACGGTGATGCTAACCAACAAGCAAGCAAAGTATCTTTGAACAGACTTACAATCTGAATAAAAGTATGCAATTTTCTTCAGACAGTGTATAAACTCTTTATTGTGAAAATGTGCGTGCACTGGTTTACACGTCGCCAGGTTACATAATCCCAATCAAAATGTGAACCTTAATATGACTTGTGGTCTTATTGATCAAATCCAATCTACATACATTCGTCACAGAAATCAAAGTGATAAGCATCCAATGCCGGAGTCTTTGAAGTGTAGCTGATTGTCGATACGTAATTCAAGATTCCACCGGGTCGCTCTTCATTATACAAACTAAAGGCATACATGAAGATGATTGCATCAAGTTGAATGTGAAGTTCACTGTTTTCAAGCAAACATTTCGAACAACATTTTAACGCAGTGCCTCATGTTTTCATGGTCATCGATATACTCCTATCTGCTAGGATCTTGTCAACCTACAAATCATTTATTACAATACTATGGAGTGAATTTCGGTCAGTACTGATTCATAGTCATAATATACTGCCTTGCAAGACAAGTGCTTTTATTATGTAGAATATATCCTTTTCGAAAAAAAACTCAGAGCCATCAAATCTGTACTTACGTTACTATGGCAAACATTCTCTTTCCAGATTGCAGCATATCTGTCGTACCCATTGCTACATTTGTCAACTACTGGACACCAGTAGCATGTGAAATCGGACGTTGTTGCAGCGAAGCATGATTGATTCGATTGTTGTATTGAACAAAATTCTGTGAAAACGATGAAATGAATACAATTGTGATTAAACCGTAAACAGATAATTCATATCGTCTGAATCATTGAGAATATTAATCAGAGACGTTTCACGACGTGGATACGAAGTAGAACGGCCACTGAACATTCTACGTCCTTACACTCGCAGTCAGTAATAACCTGATTGAAGTTTATGACATTTTGTCAATTGCTTTTATCATATCAATCTGATCAATTAACATTTGATGCAATTTTTATTCGAGAAAGAACAAAAACGGAGCGGGTAATTATGCATATCAATCTATTATACACAGTAAATGTACATGCGTTAAAATATATAAACATCGTCCCTCATAACGTACATGAGGAAATTCTATTTCATCAATGGAAAAGAATTCATTCATGTAAATGAAATGTTTAATGCACATGCAATACTTAATACGGTAACGTTAACATACGTGTCGTCGGTTCATACTCCACTAACGTGCCAGACGTCATCCATGATGATGGAGTAAATATAGTGCTGTAGGCAACTATATTTTCATCGCATTTACCTAGTGGAACAAAAGAGAACATGTGTTTTGACGAAAAAATATTACAAAGAGAATCTATGCAATAAATGATTTCAAATTGAAATTGCAAATAACTGCCCATATATTCACAGCGAGTAGTCTGTGTGCTACATTTTACACTGTGGATGTTTAATTTGACGAAACATAATGCGCATTTTCTGAGAGTCGATCCTAAAACCAAGATACTACCTTGAAACTTCCATTTAGTGCTTCACATGATACTAAGCTTGAAAATGTCGTTGGAGGATAAAGAGTCAACACCTTTTATAATAAATATAAGTCTCGCAAACCAGTCACTTGGTGTCCGCATAAATTCTGTTGAAGAGTTGTTCTTACAGACATTTCGAATTGTGGTCACATTATCACATTTCTTCAAAACCGGAAACACTTCATTCGACACATAAAGAACTTCATGATTCGAATGGACTGTTTCGTAGTCTGATGTTACAATTGATGATATATTCACTCAGTATGAATAAGTAATTTGCATTAACACTTCACAATACAATCACGTTACACAAGTGCATTCATTGTTTTGCTCGATATTTCAAAGGCCAATTTGATTTCACACCAGACACGAGTGAAGAATGCAGATATTTCATCTACACAACTACATGAATTATGTTTTTAGTTGCAAACAATGACACAATCTACTACTTTGTTCGTCATTGAGGCTATTGTGTATGGAGTTACTTTATCAAGCCCTAATCTTTGTTTTTAACAAAAGTACAACTTTCCAGAACGTGCTTCTTACTGTTTTTCAGTTTATACAAATAGTAATCTGACAGTGCTGCTCCTTTTTCATCGTCCCAAGCTCTAGAAGGTCTCTGAAAGAAAATATCAAAGTTTGCATTGAGAACTGTGGCCGGTCAACGGCACATATCGTAACCAAGTATTTATTGAAATTATGTGTGATGAGACAGGTGACCACAATGATATTCCATCAGGCGTCATAGTCTTCATAACTGCAACCAGAATATATATTTCTTAGATTTTCATCAGCAATTCATTCTCACAATGTCTTCCATTTCATTGAGGTTTCCTGTACAATCTGGTGTTGACAATATTGGTTGAAGAACTTTCCGTTTATTATCTACGTGCTTCGAAGTAAAACGGGATTGTTTCAAGCGCAAATATGTTACTTTTTCCGCGAAACCATTTTTCTCAGTCACCCAACTTTTACCGCATTTCGTACGATGTGTATATTCACAAAGGAACACATTCGCATCTGGTTTACACTCATATCACATTTGCATAATTTGGTCAAATCGTCATATCGACTTTTCTGTGTGAAACAATTTTCGACAGTTCGAAGACAGTATGTAAACGAATAATACTTCAGTGTACGGTATTCGTTTTCGAATGAAAACACAACAGCATCACTTCTCTTAGGATACGCAGTGTACTTCATTCATCAATCCTCTGTAAACCGTTCCTGTAAACGTGTTCAGTTGATATCATTTATTTCTCAGTATTCATATTATTTGTGCTACACGCGTAACAGATATAATATCACATGGCCTCTTGCTGTCATTCAAAGTGTGCTTCAACGCCTTCGATAGCAACTAGTGATGTAGAACGAGCCTAATAAATTTAATCAAAGTAAAAGTTCTATAAGTTATTACACAGCTTACGTTTTCATAGTAAACTGAAATCTTTCCATCTGGATAAAACAAAATCTGAACCTGAGAAATACCTACAAAAGTAAGAAGAACGTTTCTGGTATGGAAATGTACGTGGGGATTTCTTCAGAATGTTGCATCGCATGGATGCACATTGACTGAGATAGTTTGCATCACATGGTCACAGTGCTGTTTCTGTTATAAGATTGATTGTTTTATTCTAACTGAACTGTTTTCAATATAAGTATAAAAGTTATTGATATCTGAAACGAACAACTGTAGTGGTTTTTAGTCTGTGTTCCTCATTTTGGGAACTATGGACCTACATAGGTTTGGAACACTGTTCGAATACTTAGTAGAGGAAATACAAAGGACATTACAGAACCTTCGATCACTTGCACTAACGTCAATGAACAACGAACAACCACATCAACAACCATTCAGTTCATCATACATTGGAAGTTTCAGAGACAAGCAGAGGATCATGAACCACAATTAATTCTAGATCGACATTAAGAGAATGAATTTCAATGAACGCGAAAACACAGTAAGGCCAATAAAACTAGCTATTTGTCATTCCCCGATAACTTCGAATACTTGAGCTTGACTTCCAGTGTATGCTGATGACACTGTTCGAAAACCACACTATGTAGCTCATTGAAATTATTGAAGTTTAGGCCTAACCACATTGATGGTTTGAACACTCCTGTAACGTGGATTACGTCTGTTTCAAAATTCCGTGTCCCGCTGGTCGAACAGACGATTTCATGAAACATAGAAATCTCTTATATATTCAAAGATACACTATCTCACTTATATGTTTCATGATTTTTCATGCATTCAAAAGACCATTTACGTTTACTTACGATCGTCTCGAGGGATTGCGCGAAAATAAATTTTTAGGGCGAACACCTCTCCTAAAATATATATAGGAGATATTAGTGTGTACACTTATGCATAGTGTATTACATTTTTGTCAACAAAAACACAACACAACAAAACATCATTCTTTCATATCGTTAATATTTCATCAACCTTCACTAATAGGTACCATAGGTTTGACTTCATTACATCACTCATTTTGTATACTTTCAGTAGCCTCCATTTTACTCACATTTTTTTCATGGTAGCAAAGAATAGGATGACATCAGAAAAAAATACTTTTATTCCATCGTCTTTACTTTGAACACCAGTCTCCAAATGAATGAAACATGTGCAATGAAAGTAATTCATATGAACTTACTAGTGCTCAAATATTCCGTTTTTTGTAATACTGAGAAATCTGGAATCGCAAAGATTACACCTTCATATATTTCACCCTTTTTCGGCTTGGGTATATATATTTCACCTGAGTTGAGATAGTGATAAGAAATTTAATTAATTAGGGTTCGAGCCATTTCAAGTCATAAAATAATATGATGATTTAATATCAGTAATGAATTTCGTCACTGGAGAATATAACTTACTTTTTACTGATTCAATTGAATCGTAATTCATGCCATAATATTTAATCGGGAAAAGCAAATTTGGTGCCTAGTAATATTCACATGTCTTTATAAGAACATGTAAAATACTCACGGAGCCTTCAATCAGTTGAACGAAATTTCCTTCCACGACTGGTCGTGGTTGTTGACGACGCAATATCTGGCAATAATAATAATTATCCACCTGTGTATATGTGTATTAGCATCTATCTGATTAGTTACTTTTTTATATGACGCATTTTCAAAGATTGTCTTTGCGTATTTCTTCTGTTCGAATTTACCAATATCTGAGCAGCTTTCTAGACACTCAAAGATGTATGGATGAATAACAGCCAACAAGCAAATCTGTATCAACAATTTAGATGCTACAGTGAACCTGAAATATTGACAAAGAATATAACATTTCAATAGCAGTTCGTCAAATCTGGAACTTGCTTTTTCTACTCATTCACATAAATTCTCTGGTCCATACTCACATCATTTTCTGGTTCAAATAAAAATAAACTACGTTAAAATTGTTTGTCGAGTTTAAAAAGAGTGAAAGATCAACGCATCTTTTTGATACGATTGTAAAAGACATCCAATAAAAGTGTGAAGGTTGATGAAATCATTTTCATGTTATTGGTCAAACGTCATGATAGGTGATTTAATCTTTTAATAATAATCCGCATCGATTATTTGATATTGTGAGTGCGTTCATCATTCATCACCTCAAGTTGATCATGTTGTTCAGCAGACTACATGGACTTAATGAGAAAATACCTAATCGGAAATTAATTCTCATGGCGATTTGATGCTTATGATGTTACTGATCTCATAATATCACGTTGATATTTGGTTGTGTACAACTATTTCTCACTAGGTGAAGTTATCTGTGAGAATCAAAACGTTGACAGTGATTTCATTGTTCACTGTCGAAAGCAAATCATAGCAAACACTCGTAGGCTAATCGATTGACGAATTCATTCCCAAAGTTGCTAGATATTTTGTATTTCATACGACTGCACAGGAAGTTTATATGATTTTGAAATTCATGAAATAAATCTTATTCAATTACTCAATGCATATAGACATAGTGACTACATGGCAAGTCGGAATTCATCAATCATTGAACTCATTTGCCAAAGATACGTTGATCAATTATCAATAATTTACAATTATTATTATTTTCAGCCATGTCATCAAGCTGTAGGTAATCATGAAATACCTAAAAATAAACTGACTCGGATGTTTCGTGTTTTTAATTGTGGAATTGGAATTTTTAAACAATGTGAACTGGATCCAGTATCAGTAGTCATTTGAGAGTGGTTGTAAATGAAGGTTTATTAGGTGCTAGCAAATCTGAAGTATCTAGCTTAGACAACTGTTAATAAATGCTTGCATCTTATGGATGATATCTTTGGTAGTTCTCTTCAAGTTACCATCATATAAAGTACAACTACCTTGACGTTTGTATTGAAAATGGGGATTATGTTGTTGGTAATAGTTGTGTTTGAGTTGCGGTTATCGTTCATTTGTAGAAATGCAGTCTTTGCTTTGCTGATCCGCGCATTCACATCTGCATGAGTTCCAACTTGTTCATCTATAATTAAGTGAGATTATAAGAACCCTGAATGTTAAGTCGTTTGTATTACTGAGTGTTATCAATAAAATTGTTCTACTTTAATACTATCTACACTAATACTATCCCTTGTAAACTTAATTAATTTGAATAATATCAATAGATCATCAAAAAATAACCTTTCACATATATTATAGGGGTATATCTGCCGGCCCCCCATCCTTGCAGTTATTGCTTTCGTTGGTCGGTGCTCTCTGTTTCCTGACATAGTTCTATTTGGAGAATATGCTGACAAAATGCAGTGACTTCTGAACACCCTAGGCAACAATGCAAGCACGTTCGGGATGCGGGTTCTCACCCTCGAAATGCAAAATGTTGCTTCAAGTTTGGATTCCGTCGGCCCCTGAACTAGTGATAGGGAGTGAAGTAGTCGAACGTGTAGACCGCCTCACTTATCGTAGGAGTCTCATCTCTTCTGATAGCGTTGTGACTGACAAAATCTCAGCTCGGATACAGAAATCTCGATTGGCTTTTCCCAACTTGCGTCAACTATGGCACAGGCGAGATATCCGCCTGCTAACTGGAATTTTTATACAGTTTGAATTAGACCCAGCATCAGTAGTTTTTCGGAATGGATGTTAAAGGAGGTTTATTAGGTGCTTCATGATTAGATACCTGATAGTTTTGTACGTTCATTCTTTGCATAGTCATCTTCTGAGATTTTCAACAAATTTAAGTGAACTCATACAGTTAGGATTGTGATCAGAGCACAGGTTTTTCAAACTCTCGAATGGCAGCTGCCGAAACCGTTTGGCGACTAGCTCATATTTTCTGCACAACTTCTTCCTCTTGGTCAGTTTGTGTTTGCTTTTGGAGTGATGAAAGCAGCGAGAGATAATCTGTTAGAGCAAAGAAAAAACACTGTGCCGCTCTACTCCTCCAATTAGCTTTGCTTTGCCTTAACGCCGTTTATTATCATGTCTGCCAGTGTGAACATATGCTTTAATCAAAGTAATCCATAAAATCATATTGAGCTTCGCACAAATGGAGATTAGTTGTTTTCGAATACAGAAGTTAGTTTACAGCTATCGAATGAGTGGATGCAGACAAAAAAGAGGCTTGAAAGACGTCAAACGTAATGCGAAATGCAAAACCACCACAGCAAAGAATCTTTTGGAATTCAACGATTTCCAAATGATATGAGAAAGCAGAAATTTCGGAACATAAACGCACGAATAACGTTGTAGTATTCAAATGTTTGTGATGCTATGGGATTAATAGACTGAACCTGAGGTTTCCTCTTATCTTATCTCATCTAGGTCTTCATTGTTGTTCTGTCTATACTGCTTATCCGCAGTCAATTTGTACTGGTAACAACAAATCCTTGTGTGCACAGTATATATATAATTATATATATATATAAATAAATAAATATATATATATATATATATATATATGCATGCATTATCCTAATCACAATTCAAAGATAGACTTTCAGTAAAGTAAATATCTTTACGTACCTTCAATTTATCCAGATTATGTAATGTGAATCTGAAGTGAATGTGGTAAGGTAAAGTCTAAGCTCTATTTCTCAAAAAACGTGTTGGAATAGGCTGTCTACAGTAGCTTCACGTTTTATCCATACTAGACACTTCCATATATTTCGAAATACATTTTTTCCGGCAACATATCGCACTTTTGTAATGTAAAACAACAGTACAAAATTTGAGATGTGGTTCAGTTAGGAGCAGTAGGCATATTGGAAAGGGTGCGCTACAGAAGGAAAAATAATAAAATGCGTGAGATTTAGACAGTTATGGATCACGAATTTCTTGCTGCTGGCGTCAATAATGAATGTGGTGTAACAAAAACATTCACTCTAATAAGTTTCTGAGGTTAGCGAAAAAATTGTGTCGTAGAATTCCTTGATTTTCAAAAATCAACGATGTTTGGATTCACTCATTGCTTTACTCATAGTGCACATGGTAGCGCAACATATAGCGAAACTGAAACGGATCGTAATTGATTAGTCATGACTGGCAGAAAAAAGTAGTTCAATACTGAAATTGAATCACGAAGGTTTTGACATGACCTCAATTAGTAACCATTTTGAAAGAAATCATTTGTGCGACAATTTGTGTATGAAGTCAACTACGTATTCCGTTAGATGAGCTCATTTTAGAATTGATAAAGATAAGGATACAAGAAAAGTGAATGGGAAAACTTGAGTCATTCGACCACATTAGATGAAGCCTGAATAAGAATAATTCATCAGAAAAATTATGTTACATATGAAAATATGCAAGATCGATGTGCACACACACGCATGAAAGAAACAAAGGCATCATGTAGATGGTCAGACTTGAGAAATTATAATAAGTTAGAAGGATTACCCGAGATTATTTTCATAGAAAGCAAAATGATCGACATGTCTTCTTCATAAGAAATTGCTTACGAAAAAGACGATAGTTGCGATTGTGCAAAAATCAGCGCGTTGTACAAATGATCGTGGTTTCCTCCTAATTTTCAGATAAACCTGTATGAAATTTGCATTCAATGATCAAGTAATCTGGTTCTGCTTTAACGACTAAAATGAAAAAACAAAAGGATTTGAATATGTGAGATGATTAGTTCATCAGAATCTTGTAAGTTGTATGTTTCCACAACAGATCAAAGTGTTTGAAATAATTTTGTATGTTTCATTATTCGTAAACAGGTTTTGAATGCAACAGAAATTAAATAATTTGGTAATAATTATGTTGTGATGATCTGTCTGCTTTGAATTCACTCGCTGTTATCCTAATGGGACAACGCAGCATAGCGGATTCAGCTTTAGGAGTGTATTTTAGACATATAATCATGCAAACATGATAATCAAAATAATATAAGCAAGCGAAGCGAAGTGAAGCGAAGCCGAAGGAAGTAAAGTGAAGTTAAAAAGTTAAGAGAGAAAACTCCTTCCGATTAGACGTCACTGGAAAAATATAATCAGAGAAAAAATAGGCGGGCTATGACCAAGCGAAATCGGCATGCACGCATTCACATATGAGCAATATGGATACAAATGAAAGTATGAAATAATTTTTTTCACAATTTTAAACGAGCATTGAAAATTCGAAATGATATTAAGAAATACTGTATTCCTTCTGTACGCAGTTTGGATTTATAATTAGGTGTCATATTCCGCTCTTCAATAAAGAATTAACGAGTAATAATTCGAAATTGTTGAATGGCTTTCAAATTCGGGAAAAAATAGGAATCAGCATTATGCTGAAATTTATTTCCTCTAATGGTTATATGCGTCATCGAACATGGTGCATTTGTAAATACATGAGGCCGGTGAATCAGCACTCTTGTTACATGAAGACTTGAGTGAGATCAGGTTAGAATTGGGAGTCAGTAGATCAGCTGATGCTTCTTGAAGGTTGTTTGTTAAAACTTCAAATAACTGTGTTTATGTGGTGTTTCTGTTAAATATGATCAAAATTGTCAAAATCTGACGATAAGAAGGTACTCAGAAAGAGCCTTTACGTTTACAAAGGGGAGTGTCAGGTTGGTGTGTAAACAAGGCAGAAAAGCCCTCTAGCTGTGCACTAGGAATAATGTGTTGAGGAGGAAGATACAGATTAGATACTCGCACGCTGTCACTCAACAATGTATGACATAGTGAAATCAGAATTTTAAATCTTGTTTTGCAGTTAAAATATCATCATGAAAAATGATCAATAGGTTTTGTTGTAACTCGTTACATGAGTTATGTTGATTATATTTACATTTCAGAGTTGAAAATACTGCAAAGTTTCAAACAAATATTAACTGTTGCAAATATTAAAAGTCACATTGTCTACACTAAATCAATATATGCGTTTCTGAATAACTCAAAGGCAATTACAACACTCTGTGCCGGCCTGTGTATCACTAGTTTCGTGACTGTCTGTATCTTTCTC